ACAAGCGTGTCACGGTCCCTCTGGATGGCATTCATGGGTTCATGTTGAAAATTATAAAATGTATTGCTCGTTCTTCTGCATCCCTGACAGGAATGCTGCTGGGCAGTACTGTGGTCTAATCTGAAAATACAGTATTTCTTAATATTGAGTATGTATACAGATAAATGTGCAGTTCAGTTATATCTTCTGGATTTTTCAAGGCTTAAATAGAGAGAAATGTATTGGATTTGATCAGGAATTTTTGTATAAATCAGCTGGATAATAAAATTAACATACTGCTGGTATTTTGCCACAAGGCAGAAGCAGCCTATCCATTTTAAGAAACAGTCAAAGTAAAATTGAAATTGTTTTTTGCTTTAAAATGAGCTTTTATTCAGTCTATCTAGTCTAATTGTTTTAGGTTTGGGGGGTTTTTTTCATGTTTCTTCATTGCTGTGAAGGGTGTAATATTAATATGGTAATAGGAAAGCAAATGGTATTTCTGTCTATCCTTCATTTACATGAATTAGTAAGGGGGGCTGGAGGTGAAGTGATGACAGTCTGATTTTCAGGAATGTGTATAGAAATTTCAAGGTAGTCAGGTCTAGACTGGGGATTTGGTTCATGATACTCCTTTGAACTGCAACATTAATTTCCTAGCATCCTAATAATTTTTATTCATGTTCCTCTGAAAAGAATGTAATAGGCCTTTAGGTCCAGGGATAAAATAAATACCCTGGAATAAAACAAAGTGTGACAATTGAGGTGGTCTTAAACTGCTAGTTTTGCTTTTGTGACTACCTCAGAAACAGGCTATTAAGTGATTTACGCTATACAAATGGCAGTGCATATTATAGATGAGTTTTTGCTGAGTTGTTTTCTATTTTTTATCAAGGCATTTGGAGTCTGAGGATATTCTCTTTTACTTTGTCACTCCCTCTCGGGGGCCCATCATGAATTATTTCTACATTCTAGCTAAATATAGCTGAAGACAACACCAGGATTGTCAACAGAATGAAATATTTGTTTAACATTCTGCCATAAAGAGATATATTTTAAATTACTGACTTGTATAGTGTTACAGCACTCAGCAGCCTGAAGAAAAGTGAATGGCAAAATGGAAAAGGATAATACCTAAAAATGTACAATAAATAAGGAATTAATTACATCCTATAAAAGGTCAAAGAGTTCTTTGTAAGCCTTCATTTATTCTTTTTAAGTGACTTCCTAGACCTTTCATGATATTTGGCTTGTGTCTTTGGAGCCGTACCCAGCACAAGTATCACTATTAATCTAGTCTACATTAAAACCTAGAAGAGCAAAAATTAAAGTATAAGGCTAACATTTGTTCAGAACTACTGCAGCTTTCTGTACACATAAGCAGAATCAATATTTGGCTTAAAGTAACAAAGTACTGCTATTGAATGGTCTCTTTCATTGTACTGTTACAACATTTTACTGCAGTGAAAAGTAACGAAGTAAAGTTGAACTGCATCTGGTGAGAATCGCCTGATTTTGCTTGATAGAGGTGATGTGTTTTTCTGTGTACAAGATGGGGACATACCAATGAATGAATTATTTGTGTTAAGGTACTTGTGAGTGTTACCGAGCAGTCTGTCTATGCAGTTAGTCAGAAATGCAACACAAGTTCTGGTGGGTGCACACCTTTCTATTTTTGGGTGGAGGCTGATAGGCAGCATTCTGTCTTAGTGATGTATTTAAAGCACACCCAGAGGATTATAAACCTTTATGCTTCTGGCATATATACTGAGTGATGGGGTAGGCTAAATTCTGTCTGCATCCAAATAGTTTTGGGTTCATTAACGTTTAATATTACTTTTGCATTTAAACATCATTGTATCAAAGCATAATTTGGCTCATGATTTACATAGCAATATAAAAGCTAGGTGAGAAGAAGCCCATTCAAAACCTATTCTGATTCTAATAACCTTTCATTGTAGCAATTTTTGAGAATGGAGTAAGAATATAGTACATACTAAGTAGTTCTTTTAAAAAGCTGTTCTTTTTCTTAGGTACAGTCAGTACCTAAAGTATTCATCTTTGTACATAAATTAATATATTGCTTTAATATTTTCTGTTCTTGGAGGAAGAAACAGGATAGTTTGTTTTTCATGTGTTGAATGGCTAAAGAAATTAATCTTGCATTAACTGCTGGTTTAAGAGTTCGTGACACAATTTATGCAAAAGACATTTCACTGGATAAATTTATTTGGTGTCATCCCATATCAAGGCAGGTGCAGTAATAATAAATGAGAAGCGGGAAAGGCCAGGCCAATTTGAGTCATTTAAATAAGCAGTGCTAAAATCAGTTCAAGCGTACTGGCTTTTGCTAACCTACCAGCAGAAATGGGCAAAACACCTCTCAAATTTGTAAACTATTTCTGATGACTTGATTTGGTCAGTATGATCATTTATTTCCTTGCTTATTCTTGGAAGCAAATAGAGATAACTAAGAATTCTTTAAAGTTCAGAACTGTAATCGTCTATTTGCATTTTTGTCTTTCATAGAGATGAATTTAATATTAAAGTTCTTCAGGCTTTTGTTGAACTCCATGAGTTCGCTGATCTCAATCTTGTACAAGCCTTAAGGTGAGTAAATTCTTTCTTTTGGCCTGAGCTTTCTTTCCTGAACTGCACATTCGTATGAATCACTGTGTTGATTTATTCATCAGAAAGTTGACCTACAGCTTGGCACAATTATACACATTACTGCGGAAGTTAGCAGAGACAGCTCTTTTTTAACCCTTCCAATTGCTTGTGTGTGTGCTGCCTTTGAAGGTGACAACTTTTTAATTAATTCAGTCAAATACAAACAACTAAGCAAACACAAACAAGTAACTCTTTTGTGTGCCTGCCATATGTGGACATTTGAGGATCTGCTTCATATCTTAGCACTGAGATAGGTAAAAACTAAACTCCTAACCCAAATAAATAATTTTCTTTGCTGCCCTCTTCTTTCTCCTTTCCTTCCACCTCAACTTGTTCCTCTGGACGGGGAAGGGGTAGAATTCTGCTGACCATAATCGGTGATTATGTTCAATTTCAAAGAGGTAAACTTTGAACCAAGTTATTTCTACTTCCCTCAGAGTTTCCCACTTGTCATGTGAAAGAAAGTGTAATATTTAAGTATACTTTTTTCCCTTGCCAAGTGAACAGTTTACTTGACTTCTCTGGGATGCTAGCATGCAGTGACCTTGTGAAGTCCCTTCTTGTCGTAGTGGAAATCCATGATAGATCTAACAAATTGAGTTGATTTAGATAGTTCTGCCAATTTCATTGTCACTAGTGACTCCGTCCTGACACAAGATAAATTGAAATGTCCATGTGATCTTTGTCTCTGGTGCAGTGTCTTATGGTGTGGAGTCAGAACAGCTTTGCTATGGTTGAGTGATGTGGTGATGGTAACATGAGCTGCCTGAGGCTTGAGCTAAGGAAGTCTTTTCTCTGTCTGCTGAAGCTTTTCTGGGAGGCTTCATATTTCTATCTCTTTTTCCCAGTTTAACGTTAGGTTTGACTTTATTCTTCTTAGCAGCTACTACTATTAAATGTTTGTATTTTGGTAGCTTACAAAATTCGTGATCTGGGTTGGAAACTTGCACGAGGTGAGTAAAAGACAGTATATAGAGATGACAAACTAAAGATGGCCTGTGACACTTTCATGTCCTAAAATGAAAACTGATGAAGACAGGAATAAATGGTTCCTATATTGGCACCCAGTGTACAGGGAATATTGAGAACTTGTTTTGCATGGCAGAGCATGTAACTTTGCTGGTTTAGATTCTGTTTTAATTCAGATAATTCTTTTGCTGAGAAATCAAAAATGTTAAATTTATTGGCACTTTTTAGCACCAGAGTGTGCCAAAAGTAAATTTATGAAGACTTCTGTCCTGTATGCATTCCAGTGTACCTATATGTAGAAACAGTAAGTTATAAAAGTAAAAACTGTGTTCCAGTTTATGCTCCTGAACAGGAGCACAGATCTGCTGTGTATATTACAAAATTACTGAGACAATATCATGAATCTTTCTTTTTAAGCTCTAGGTCTGATTCTTGCATGGTGAACTTACACTAGACAGCACCTCTCTAAGCACTAGGGTTTTTCGTGTTACTATTTTTAAAAATGTTCTTGATGAGCTCAAGTAAAGATGTTAAGTGCTTTTTATATTCCTTGCTTCTCTTCCCTATCAGAAATATTTTACGTAATGTGTCTTTTTACATTGTAAGTAAAGTCTAGCTGAGTGTGGGTTGCTTTTAGTAGCCAGGAAACACACGAAGGATTGATCTGATTGTTTCCCCATAGCAGTCTTACAGCAAAAATGGGATGCATACAGAAAACTGTTTACTAGTGTGGAAAAAAGAGTCTCAGAATATGAACTGCTATATTATCTTGCCTGATAGCATGCAGTGTTGCTGGCTGAATTACTGGGCTAGCCATCTGTGCATGTTGCTTTATAATAGCTCCTGACTTGTGTGTTGAGAGATTGAGAACGTATTTCTAGGACATTTTATATAGACATTGCTGTTTGGTTGGTTTTGGGGTTGGGTTGGGGGTTTTTTTCATTAGTTTCTGATTATTGGTCATATATGCTGAGTATATAAATATTGGAATGAGTCTAAAGACTATTCTTCCCTTCTGTAGGCAGTTTCTGTGGAGCTTCAGACTCCCAGGAGAGGCTCAAAAAATTGATCGTATGATGGAAGCTTTTGCTTCACGCTATTGCCTTTGTAACCCAGGAGTCTTCCAGTCTACAGGTTAGTCAGAGGAAGTAATAGGAGTTCTTAAGTGTGTGTATGCATTTTATTTTTTGATCATGTGTGTTCTACATCTGATGCAAGGAGATGATGTCTAGTTTGGAAGTTCAGGATAAAATAATGTACGAAGTGAGAAATTTCTGAGAATTGAGAAAATGCAACTGTCTAATCCTACACTTTGTTTCCAGGAGGTGCAAGCTTATGGCCAGAATGCATTTCCATTTATAAAACTTCAACATTAATATATATCTAAGCCAACTAATGTATGAAACATACTTTAGAAATGTCACCAAAGGTTTCGGCTAGGAATTGGAAAAGTAAGTTTCTCAGGTGCTTAAAGGCAGAAGAGACCAATAGATTGGGCAGTCTTGTCTGTCAGTTATAAGGACTTTACACCTCATTAACTATCAAGTCCCCCTATATGTGGCTATAATATATTATCTAGAAAATCATTAATTTTTGTTATGAGGACCAAATCCTCTCTCTTTAGCAGTCTGCTCAGCAATAATTTATCTCAGTTAGAAATGCACCTCACTCTTCCATTGAATTACTTGGTTTAGAATTAATCAAGTCATAAAAGCTAACAGAACTTCGAAATACTGCACAGAACGCCCTAGCATTCTGGAATTGTTGGTCTGTTTAGTTAGATACGATCATAGCTTGCAGTTGATCACTTAGTTTGAGGAACATACAGGCTAGAAAAGGGTTGACGTAAAGCAGGTCTGCACAGCTACAGAGGAAAATAAATATTGAAAACAAAGTGCTGAAGATGCAAACACATTTTTCCTCTGTGTAGCAGAGAGGTTTCCATCCTGCTTTTTCTTAAACAGGATCTTGTACTTGAATTCTGGGAGAATTTACTATAATCATAACTGTGTCAAGAAGCATGATAAGATCTCCTTTGTCATCTTGCATGCCAAGAAATTGAGTCAGTGTCATTTTCAGCCTGTTTAAATATAGTTCAACTATTATTTTGGAGAGACTGTTCTTTGGAGAAAGCTTTGTAAGTAATTTTAGTAGGAGTCCAATTGACCAAGATCTACCAGTATGATTTGGGCAAAATCTGTGTGCAGCAAATGTTTTGCACAATAACACTTCAGTGTTTTGAGTGAAATGTTAATTTAGGGTGATAGCAATGATTTCAAAGAATTTTTTTTTTTTTTTTTTTTTTTAATTCTCTTGTACTGTTTTTCTCTTACTGGCTTTTAATTTGAATGGTTCCATATTTTTCTCCTTTTTAGGCTTACTTCAACAGTCTAAAGAAAGATTTGAGATTTTGCTTCCATGTATAGTGTTCAGGAGTTTTTGACTACCTGTTCCTTCATCAGTCAGAATGAGCTATATATTCATTTTACAGGTTTGCACCACAACACATAGAAAGATAACTCATTCAAATCTTATTTCAGATACATGCTATGTGCTTTCATTTGCGATCATCATGTTGAATACCAGTCTGCACAACCACAATGTAAGAGATAAACCAACAGTAGAGAGGTTTATTTCTATGAATCGTGGAATTAATGAAGGTGGAGACCTTCCAGAAGAATTACTACGGGTAAGTTTGGCTGGGTAAGACAAGACATAGTTTTGTGTTTTTAATAGGCAATTTAGAAGCGTGTGCAAAAATTCTCGGGTAAATTTGTCAAGGGAAAGTAAGAAGAACATTTTCTAGAATGCATAACCATTTGAGTAGCTGAAAGAAGCATTTTCTGATGTTCACAGCTGCTTTGGGCTAGTTCTCCCTGTGTTCAGTCTTTTGTTGGAGAGGGGAGATTTCGGAGAAAACATTGTGTATCTCTTAGTAGTTTGCTGATGACAAAATTCTTGTGGAATTGGCTTCTTGAGGGGGGTGGGGGGGATGAAAAAAGTATTTCTGGGTAAGTCAGAAAAAGCTGGAAAAAAATAGTAAAAGTCATTGTTTCATCATTGCCTCCCCATGTGTCTTGTGGAGCTTCCTCCTGTCCCTTGAGATATTAAGTAAAAATACTTATTTCTCTAAGACACTGTGGTAAGCTAAACCATTTTCTGAAAACCCAATTCATTTGGCAAAACTCATACTAAATGAGAGCTGAAGCAGAAGCCTCTGAAATACTGAATGCTGAAGTTAAATTGCAAGAAGTGCTTATAAAGTATGTAAAAAGAGACACTTGTTTATAGATGGAGTCATTTAAAATCAAACTTAATCAAAGTAGTAAACAGAGATTGAGAAGGGATGGTCCAGAATTTTATGATACTATTTACTATGCTTTTTATAGAGTCTGAGAAGCAGTAAGATGTCCTGGTTGCATTTGCTGTTAGACATTCATTAATGAGGTCTTTTTCCTCCTTTTTTTTATTCTTCTAGAATTTATATGAAAGTATTAAGAATGAGCCATTTAAAATTCCAGAGGATGATGGAAATGATCTAACGCATACGTTTTTCAATCCAGATAGAGAAGGTTGGCTGCTGAAACTAGGTTAGTTATAAGGGCAGTTTCACTGCGACGTGTTTGTTCGTTGTTAGAGTGTTTGCTGCTTCTGTGTCTATCTTCTTTCTTGTGAAGGTAGTAGGATTACCTTTGTAATTTGTATTTAAAAATGGATGAAATAAGTAACTCGTTACATCTGAAAGTTGTTACTTCTTATTTTACATATCCAAATTGATCTTGTTTCAAACTTTGGAGTTTTATTTCTGATACATGAGACATAAAACTCAGTGACAAAAGGTAAACGCTATATGGTATTTACCACATGCTGTGACTGATAAATAACAACTACATCTCTGTAAGGTCATTTCAGAAAACTCTGTGATATTTCAACTCAGTTTTCTGTGTACAAAAAAGGATTTCTCTTCAAACAGTTATTTTTGTATGTCTTTATTTTTCCATATTATTTGTGAGTTTCTCTTGGTTTGGTTTTGGCTATGATTTTTTAATGAGTGGTTTAAATGTGCCTTCTTGTTTTCCTTATGGCCTATGACCTATCACCTTTCTGTTCTGTGACTGGCTGTCTCTGCTTATTCTGCATTAGGAGGTACGTATCTGATTGCTTTCCAGTCCCCTCCTTTTCAGTTGCACATTCTTTTATTTTCCTCCTCCTTCCTCCTGTTTTCTTTTCTTCGTTTTTGGTTTTTTCCCTTCTTTTTTTTTTTTTTAATCGAGTTTATTGTAGCATTTTACTTTTCACTCAGTGTCACTAACAGTATCATCAGTGGTACTGACTGGCATGTCAGTGTCTGGCTCACATGCGGGTGTGTTCTGCAAAAGAAGAAAGTGCTTACATGTAAAGGAGAAAAATAAAGATGACTATTCTTGTTCTTTTGTTCAGTGAAGAACAAAACAGGGGAAGAATGACTTCTACTGAGAGAAAACAACATCTTGCTCTTGTAATGAAGTTCCAGGGTGATTTTGTTACTTGTATATCAATTAGATTATTGAAAGATTGATTACATTTGAACTATGCATTTATAAAAACTGTTCTTTTTCCTGTTTATTTTCCTTTGTGAATACAATCTTTAGCTTACTTAACAGAATCTTGAAAGAGCACTAAATTTAGGGTTGTGGAAACCTCTGGTAATTTGCAGTCTCCTGGCACTGCAAGATGCCCTTGTTTACAGACTCTTTTCGAGTTGATGGGATTCACTTTCTCACTTGGGCTTAGGGAATTTTTTTCCTTTATAAAGGAGACTGAAATTTTATTTTCACATTTGTTTTTCAATTAAATAAAACTCATTAGATAAAAACACCAGTACACACTTCAGTAGAGCCAGTTGTTGGCCATTTTAATGTCTGACTGCTTGTTAAAGTAGAAGGAACTTTGCACTTGGAGAATGGTGACTGAAGTGTGAAAGATGTGTGCTGTGTGGTGCGCGTGGGGGTGAGTATGGTGAAAGTAGAGCCTGGTTAGAGCCGTGGGCCCACTCTACCGATTGCACCTGGAAGTTGGTGGTCATGCTAGTGCTGGAAGGAAATAGATGTGAAAAGGAAGCATTTGGAATTCATTCACATGCTCTCTGATGTCTTATATTGACCTCTGCACTACAGATGTTACAGAGCTCTATGTCTTTCTAACTACAAAGAAGCAAAGCTCTTGCTTTTTGATGTGTGTTGGCTCAGCAGGCACAATTTCAAAGATGACTTTGCAGATTTTCTCCATTTTGTAGCACGAGGTGATAGCTATCTCAACAGCAAAGACTTTCAGAATGATGTAGATAATGTGCTTTCTGAAGAAAGGGTTGTGTATAAGCCCATGCTGTGCATGTTTCTATTGCCAGTGCCCTTTTATATACACATACTGAGAGCACAGGCAGGAGTGCAAGTGTGTGTAGAGGAGTGACAGTTTCAGAAGAAATTGTCAATGAAAAGATTTAATAAAGATCAATAAGAGATTAATAAAAAATAGAGGAACAAAGAAATTGAAGAAAAAAGTGACTGAAAGTTGGTGAGAGCTGCCAGCTACTTCTGCACAATCCGTCTCTGGCTCTGGCACAAGGTCAATAAAACCAGCTTTTCATTATGTATGAGGTAGATGAGATTGTGTACAGAAAATCCAATAGTAAAAGCGTGTGTGAAACGGAAGGGTGTGGCACGTAACACTCCCATGACATGAGGGTTATTTGAATAAAGAAATTAAACATGTCCAGAAGCCTCTGGTGAATCAGCCTGTAAATGCGTGAAGCTGCACTTCCGTGAAAGACTGCATTTTTTTCAGCCCACACAGGCTGGGACAGACAAATACATTTTACTAGTTTAGCTGCATTGACCAGAAGTAAACCTGGCAATCTTTCTTTTTTTCTTTTTAATTTTCTTTCTTTCTGTTCTTTTTCTTTCTTCTTCTGCTCTTTCTTTTCTTTCTTCTCCTGTTCTTTCTCTTCTTTCTTCTGTTCTTCCTTTTCTTTCTTTCCCTTGAGTTTCCTATTTGCTAGGAGACTTAAACTGTATGTTAAGAGTGCTGTCTCGATCCACATTGTTTGCATTTTTACAGTCCCTTCTGTTGGGAAACACTTCTTGTGAAATGGGTAGGATTTCCTTCAGCTCTGGAAGATGCTGATATGAAAAGTTTCGGTATTGTTAAAATGCAAAGGAGACTCTATTGCTGTGTTGGAGTTTAAGTGCTCAGCTGTTAAAATACTTAAGAGTTGAAATAGAAAGTTAGTATAAAACTACAAATATGACTAAGACAACTTGGGAAACCTTGAATATATTATGACAGTATTTTGTATTTCTTATAGTCAGCTTATTCCATTTATCTACTTGTGCCCCTCTGCTTAGTATTCCAGCTCCCCATATTGATTATCCTCTGAGCAGGAGTTGGATATCATGGAACTTCCATGTACTATAAAATTCATCTGTCCTAAAGACCACCCTAGCTCTCCAGGCTGGCACTGGGTTTTAGAGAGCTGAGAAATGCTTTTGAAGAGTTTGCTGGTCGGAATTGTTCAGAGGTGACTTTGTGTAAGTCCTGCCTAAACCTGGCAGCCAGACAGCAATTTTGGTTTTATCTATGTAGACTCAGCTGGTGCCTTTGTATAGACCTCTTTATCATGGTAAAGCTAAATTATCATTCAGTTTTATATTGTCTGAAGCATGATGTAATGAAAATGAATGCTACAAGTAAAATACTGAAAGCTGCTGAGTGCTCATGAATCCTTACTTAGAGCAGCTTAAAACATCATGAGCTTTTAGATGTTTGAGCGTCATAATAATTAGTGGTGTTGGTACCATGAAGTTTTCTGCCATCTACTTAAGGTATTTTGAAGCTGTAGTTTGTGCTCTGTCCCAGTGTCAAAGTTACAGTCATCTTGCACAGGGAGTCATTTCCATGCCTAAAACAGCTTCTTCTGGTAAATAGCTTGGTTTAGGTAGTATTTTCGTCTAGTTCGAGGGAAACTGTGACATTATTTCACTTAAACTGGAGAGGAAATGATTCAAGCCAGACACATGATCGCGTTATTTTCTTCCGCCAGTCAGGCAGTTCCTGAGAACTTGGAGATTGTCCAAAAGCTTCGTGTCTGGGCCCGTCCCACCAGTGGTGGGCCTTGAGAGGACGCTCTCTCTCTTCCCTAATCAGGGCTGAGAGAACAGTGGTAGTTGATCAGGAAACTGGTGCCTTGCGGTACCTGCCTGGTTCTCATAGTAACTGATGCTCTTCCAGGATGAGGCAGTTAATGATGTGGTTGAGGGAAACTTCTTTTTCAAAGAAACCGAGCTTTAATGCAGTCACCTGTATAGCTGTACAGTATGTGAGTCCATGCTGCCTAGTGGCATCAACTTGAGAAACATTCTTGATGAGAATAAAAAAAGTCTTGATGTGTGTTTCCCTTCTAAAACTTTATATAAAGGTGCTGAAGGTTTGGGTAGAATTTTCTAACTTCAGACACATTGCTGCCTTTAGTCTTAAGACCATTTTTAATGTTTAAATGTGTGTTTCTTGAATTATTGTCAGTTGTTTTTCCCTTTAGTTGTAGGTTTCTTTTACCTTTGTTCTCTAGTTTGTACTTTGACCAGAGTTTGGGGAAAAAAACATCCTGTGTTGGGTTACGTAGGTGAAGAGAGTTTCTGTTCCTCTTTCTGTACCTTGTGCCTTGTGACCTTTTCTTGTAGTTTCCTTAGATTTTCACCTACAAGATATAATGCTTCTTTATTTTCTTGAGAAGTCAAGAAGTCAATTTTAATTAATTTTTCAGAAGTACATCACTTAATCTCTCAATTTCTGTAAATGTTTATGGATTCATACTCTGATTTTCTTGATCCTCTTATGCTAACTTAATTCTTTTCAGCTTTAATCTTTAAAAGGCTGGAAGCTGGAATAAGATATGAAGTATGGTACTAAACCGTGTTGTTGTTTTGTGAGCCTACAGCAGTCTTGGCCAAGGAAAAGAATGTTTTGTTATCACGAGTTCTTACCCATTAATCTTGCATCAAGGCCACAAAGCCTTATCAACCAGCTTCTTGGGTTTCAGCCCATTATAGAGGCATAGTAAATGCTTGTTATATGGTGACCCCTTGCAAACTTGGTGAGTACAGATTAGATTGCCTTCCAAGCTTTATTAGCATTTCTGTGCTGTTGACAGCTGCAGCACAGCAATGGGGTGGGAACACAGAGACTTACATGAGAGAATAGTTTCTTATCCTGCCAGAAAATCTTGCTTTGCTGCTTTTTTTCTGGAAGAGCAACTGAGAGTTTGGTGGAGCAGGGACGTAAGGTCTATTTCCACAACTCATGTTGTAACCCAATGAGCTACTTCCTGGCTCTTTTAGGGAGAAGGGAGCAGTAAGAGGGATGCCTTTGGAAATATTTGATCTTCTTTCTGTCTTCAGCATCAATGCTACCTTGGAGCTGGAAAATGTTTCATGACGAAAGCTTCATCAAAGCTGCAGCATGATTTTACAAAAGGTTTCAGGTTTGAGAAATATGGCTTTTCCCAAGGGGCAGGGGGATGTTGTCAGGAAAAACTTCAGCAAACTCAACTGTCATTTACTACTTGGCATTTCATATTGTTCTAGGAGGTGTATCTTTCAAGTCCATTGTTCCTGCCTTAAATTATAAGCAGGTCTTCTTTTTAACTATATGGTTATTACCTGCTTACTTTTTTATTGAGTTTCGACATGGGAAAAGATTATGGGAACAACCTTTGTTCAGTTGAAGCTGCCTCTGTGATAGTTACCTATTTTCCTGTTTGTTTCATATTTTCTCTTGCTGAATTGTTTTTCTACTAGAGCTGGGCAAGCCATGACATTTGATGCAAGCTCATGTTGCCTGTTAGACTGATGGGTTTGTGCTCTTAAATTGTTAAACAGTGTTAACCTTAGAGAGCAGAATGTGACTTAAAAGTCCTGGCAATGAACATTGGGTTGTATGAAAAGATGTCATATTATTGTGATAGCAAGGACTGCCCTGGCAGTCACCTAGACTCAGCTGCTGCTTATTCATTGATCTGGAAGTGAGTCAAGCTAAAGTAAAGTACTTCCTGGTACTTGAACCAGCTCTTAGTCAAGGTGATGGGAATTTTTCTAGTGACTTACGTGCCAGTTTGAATGTTTCTACAGTGCTTTATTTAAGGATCTGTCACAGTGATTGCACTGAAATGCCACCAGTTCTTCCCTCATTGTCTCCAGTTCACTCAACCATTCATCCTGTCACAGCTTCTGCATCTTGCACTATTTTGCCTTCTCTTACTTCACCACACCTGCTTGCAGATTAAATTTTTCTTAAAATATGTGTGTGTGTATGTAGTAGAAACATAAAATTTTACTGTGTATGTTGAACACTGCAGTGTGTGAGCACTGGGTAATTGTGTAGGTCATGAAACCAAGCGAAAGGAAGATAAAATTGCAACATACTTGGTCTGCAATGCGAACATGTAGTACACTGGTATCAAGAAATTTCATGAGATTCCTGGAATTGTTCTTTAATTTAATATTATTTGTATTTCTGTATTAAGAAAATTCCCAGCTATCTCAAGTAGAACAAAAAGGTTAAAAAATTATGCTTATGTTTCAGATTTAGTTATAGGATTTGGATTAAGTTGGGGGGGATGGGTGTGTATTAATAGTACTCCTTTATGCATGGTATTCAACAGTAAGATCAACTGTTTTGAAATGCTGGATTAATGAGATTAAATCACTGCTGAATGGATGATGCACAGGTGGTGACATAATCCTGAAGTCAGATAACTATGTTGGAACTAGGCCTGGATATTAAGAACACGTGAATGCTTTATCTGCAGTTGTCTTCCCTGGAAATAGTTTGAAAAATAATGTACTCGTGGAATGCTAGACATATTCTAAAGTAGCCAATGGCAGAAAATCAGCTGAAAGCTACAAGACAGTAATGTGTGTTTCTAAAAGGAACTGTTCCTTACAATGTGACATTAGCAGGTGTAAGAAAGAGGAACTCTATGGTCATTGTTTCTAACCTGTTAATGCAGGAAAAATTGGCATATTTTGAGCAGTAGCTATTTCTTCTGTCAGGTGAACTCAGTGATATATTAACCCATAAGGAGAACATGTTTTTAAAATAGTAAATTACGACAGGTGACTAAAAATGGTAAATATTGGCATAGGACTTCCTCTTTATTCGTGGCACGTCATATTTGTTCTGCTGGTAACGTTTATAAGCATCTTCTGCACTTGATGTTAAATTTGGAAGTAGAGATAGTTTCTTAACCACTTACATGCTCCTGAGTGAAAAGAAGGTGATAAAACGCCCTTGATTTTACTGATGGGACCTTTTCCTTGTACAAGATGTGCTGTGGGGAGGGCTGGTCCTGTTGCTGGAAACCAGTTACTGTTTTTGCAGCCAGGTGGTTACACAACTGACCCCGGAGCAAGCATGCAAGCGGTGTGTTTAGCTGCCTGCCAGGGTAAAGCAGATACTGGTCATTGGCCTCCCTTTGCTGTAGCAGCACTGACTGCATTTCTGAGGGCTCTATAGCATTAGTGGTTTTGGTGCAGTAAACATGATGGCATGGACAGAGGGAGTGGGTCTGACTGCTGAACTGTTGCATTCATCTTTGTAAGAGAGGAGATGTTTGCAACTTTAGAGCATCCAGCTTTTGTGGCTTGTCAGCAACACCATAGTTAATGCTGCCTTGGGCATTTGATCTTAGCATGAGAGTTACGGTAATGTGTTCCTCTAACCTCAGCTCATCTGTGCCTGATCCATTTAGGATGAAGTAATTAAGCCATATTTTGAAAACCAAGCAAAACTAAATCATTGTCTTACCCATTGTTGAAGCCTTGATGGTGACACAGGTTTAATTCAGCCATACCTTTGATTGTAGGGGGAAGAGTAAAAACATGGAAACGAAGATGGTTTATCCTGACTGATAATTGCCTGTATTACTTTGAATACACGACAGTGAGTATATATTACAGTGAACTCTGTTGTAGTCAAGATATTTAAGTGGCTAATGACATGGTATTTTCCTAATTTTTTAGGACAAAGAACCAAGAGGAATTATTCCATTAGAAAATCTTAGCATAAGAGAAGTTGAAGACCCTAGAAAACCAGTGAGATATTTTATTTTCTTTTTTTAAGAAGTAAACCATATAGAACTTAGTGTTCAATGAAGACGTTTGTTAGTTTTGTTTTGGTTTCTAAATTGATTTCTTCATTTCTACCCTCCAGAACTGCTTTGAGCTCTACAACCCCAGTCATAAAGGTCAAGTAATTAAAGCGTGTAAAACTGAAGCTGATGGTAGAGTGGTGGAAGGCAACCATGTAGTGTATAGAATATCTGCTCCCACCCCAGAGGAAAAGGAAGAGTGGATTAAATCTATCAAGTGAGTTTAAAGTCTTAAACGTCTTTCAGAAATGAAGTGTAAGTTCTTTTTGGAGTAAGATACTAAGAGAATTTGTATTCTAACTTGTTTGAAGAATTCCGCTGTGGCAATATCCTCAAGGACTAAAGACAAACTGTGCAGGGTTGATGGATCAAGAAACAAGTGTCCTGTTACTGACTAGTCCTCAGGAAACAGTGCTGCTAACTCAGACAAGGAAAATATAGATTTATAAATTTCTAAGCAACTATAAAAGCCTTGTGTCTTTAACTCTAATTTTATCAGATTCTTACTTCACCTAATAATTAGCTTCAGTGACATCTATCTTAAGCATGTTCACAGTGCAACTGTAAACTTTCACAGCTTGACTTGATCTGGAAGGTTTGTAAAGCAGACTCACACCTAAGGAAATAAGAAATAGTCAAGATGAAGTTACAAACTCTTAACAAAGGACAGCTGAGTAACATCTTTTTCTAAAGAAATATTCATGATGCTTAGAATTCAGTGGTCTATTATCTTATTAAGAGTGTGGAGTCGTGCACAGGGAAGAGAAAGCAAAATAGGTTTAGTTTTCAAAAACAGGCATCTGTTAACCAAACTGATGATTCCTTTTTTTCTCTTCTAGAGCAAGTATCAGCAGGGATCCCTTTTATGATATGCTGGCAACAAGGAAACGAAGAATTGCAAATAAGAAATAGAACATGATCAGTAACTTTTATACCTGCCTCAACCTATAAATGAGCATACAGTTGAATGATAATGTAAAAATTTGACAAACTAAATGAAGACAAGAACTGTAATTTTTATACATACATATATATATATATACTTTATTATGACATAAAAAACTTGGCAAGACCTTTCAGGGTAGACAGTTATTGGCATATGATTTCAAGTAAGCATCAAATCCCAGAGGATGATTATATTGGAACTTAATTCAACTGAAAACATGGAAGCCTTGTTTTTACTTATATTAGCTACAGTTCCAGTTTAATTGGGTTGGGAGGGAAGGAATTCGAGCCTAACAGTAAAATGTCCTGTAGCTGTTATTTGAGCATGTGTCCCATAAAAGGAGGACTGATTATAAGACTCTAATCTCTCATTAAAATGCAGCATGGAAAGTGGAGTAAGGTGTTTCTGCAAGCAGAAACCCCACAGTGTCAGTATTGGTTCTCATTCTTGTGTGTTTTGCAGTAAATGAACAACTGCGTGCAGCTATCACTTAGGATTCACTTTCCTACCTTTACAGAAATAGCTTTTCTTCTTCAGAAATGCAACTCTGCGGTAGATGGGCAGCTACAGCGTTAACTAGTTGTGCCAAAGAGTTTGGTTGATACACACTAGAATATATACAGGTCCCCCCAGCAAAGGTTTGAGTCTGTAGACGTGACACTAAGTACAGATGTGGTTTGATATTTGCTAGTAGGCTAATTCTCATTCCTATCTGCTCATAAGCTCACTATCAGCAGTGAGATTTAATGACTGGTTTAATCTGCTTTTTATATAGTAACATTCTTCTTACGTTTTAGATATGTTGTAGTTTAATTAACACTAAGTCACTACTAAAGGAGTAAGATGACAGGGCTTGCATGATATTAGGCTTTGCATGTGAAAACACCCCCAAATAATTTCACATGCATTTAATGTTTTTAAAGGAGAAAACCAGGAAGGTGAAATCTTTTTGTAAGGTAACAGCCCTGGATAATTAATCAAGCAGGATTCATTCCTTTGCTTCATAACAAACTTTGGACATACAAAAAAGTTCAGTATTTTTATTGCATTCTTAAAGGCGACTTTTCAGATCTGTGCTTCAGCAGTTGAGATTGAAAAAATGAATAGACATTCTTATTTTACTTAAAAAGTAGTATCTTAGAGATTGATTACCCAGTGCAACTAAACTCCCCACAAGCACATGTCTTTTTGGTAATTTGTGGAAGACCTTTTTGTGGTTCTACTCATAGTCTTTCAGTAACACATGAACTGCTATGGCAGATTCTACCACAATGCTTTTCTACTCATTGTGCACACGCTGTTCTTAAGGGAAAGCCCCTCGTTCCCCAGTGGAGGCACAGGCTGGGATTTTTGGACTGCTGCCGGTAGTAGTCAGTTCTTCACAAACTTGTTGAACCTGAGCCGTGCCTGCTGTGCCAGTGAACGCTGTGTCAAAGCTTTGCCAGTGCTTTGTCAAAGCAATTTTGCTTGTTGGAGTTACAGAGCAGCTCGGGATACATCCCAGGGAAACGAGCTGTCCTGGCAAAACCACAGGCTTACCAAGATGATGTGCTTCAAATCTCCTTTAGACTGTAAGGGAGAGTCCATTTCATTCTTCCAGTCTTGCTGAGGTGCCTTGTTTTGCATGGGGGGTCATCCTGCCAGTGTTCTGCTTTGTTGCATGTTTGTGAAAAAGGCTGAGAGGAGAAGAAGGAAGCAAACTTTTCTACACCTTAGATTTTCCCCAGAGGGTGTGGAATTTTGGATGACTGTTGAAATCCAAGTCGTTTCAAAGGCGTAAAACTCAAACAAAGGAGGTACAATCCTTGAACAAGTATCCGTGTGGAGATACGTTTGCTTAATGGAACACATTTAAACTCTTGCTGGGAATGCTTTTGACTCTTATGTCCTCTGCTTGCAAAGCAAGCCAAAATCGAGAGGTATAAAGGACAACCTCGCAGGGACCCGCTGTGCGTCTTGGGTGGAGCGGGGACTCCCCGGGGTATTCAGCGCTGTTTTTATTTTATCTGCTACCGCTTGCTCACTTCAGTAAAATTTATGTTTTGAAAAGA